TGCTCTTTAATTTTCTCAGCAACTTTGAGTGAATCCTCGGGAGGGATGGAGGTTTCGTTGTGATCGCGGAGGAGTTGTTGGACAAAGTATGTGAGGTCACGTCCGGCGATTGGAATATGCTTTAATGACGATCCGATCACGTAACCTTCTGCCTATTTAGTAATTGACCCGACATTTAGTGTTCATTTCAATTCGAAAAAACCCGAAGAAGTACTCGATCAATAAAACCTCACCACTGGTATAACATGCGTAACACCGTCTCCGCTATCAATAACAGTTCCCGTCAACACGTAGTCGCTTGTCTTATTCGACGACCAGCTAGCAGCCAAAGCTAAGACGGCCTGAACAGCAATATATAAACCTTGGATATTGAATGACTCGAACATAATTTCAGCCGTTTGTTCACGATTTTCTGGTGCATTTAATGGAGGTTCTGTCTTGATATGGACAGGAAGCACAAAGTTTTCGGGTTAATCAGTATAGTAAATGTTTAGTGAGGGGTTTTCCAACCGTAAATATTGCCCCTTCTCATTGTTTTCTTTTCATTCTCTGTGCATATTTTCACTCTTATCCTGCATTACTTATACTGTTCGCTTACCAACAAGAAATAATGATCTTCCGGCTCACATCTTAGATACTTGAAGATGCTTTGCTCCCAAAACCTTTCCATATGATCCCAATTCTCGATCTGTCCATGTCTTATCGGATAATGCAATCCATACGTCTTACTGTTGGCTATCGCCTCGTCGCCAATATGGAAATCAAGATCTTCAATTCCACGTTTGGAGGCAATATTTGAGGAAAGGTGAGAGGGTTTGGATGGAATAGAAGGTCCGGTGGCATGGCCGGAGGGAGAATCGCGAGTGGCGACTACAGTCGGAAAGACAAAGGACGGGGCATTGTTGCCAGCAAAGCCGAGTTTAGTATAACTAAGAATGTAAAATGCGTAAGTTGAACAAGAAGGAAGAAATTATACAAGGACGATATTGTTATAAGCGATTCTAAGTTTTAGGGATAGACACTTAACAGGAGACTATCTCATATAACAATCTAATTTTTAACGACACTTTGACATATAGATCTCCTTCTCTTATTAGCTCTTGCACTCACCCCGTCCCATTGTCCATAATTACAGGCGGTAGCTTCAGCGACATTTTGCAAAACCGTAGCGACTAGTTCCAAGTCGCTTGCCACGTTAATTTTCTATTTTGCTTAGAATGTTTGTCCATAATAGTCACGTGGTTTATGAAGATTTTCATTCGCTGATCACGAACACCAATATTAGTATTCATCGGGTACGATCTAGCTGTTGGCTTTGAGTGATCACACGTTCTTTCTCATGGAAGTGTTAAGTTTAAATGGGACCATATATGAAATTGGTAGTGCTAATGGCGCATTCGCAGAATATACTCTATCTAACCA